AGTCTTTCATTTCAGGCATTTTCTTGGATGTGTAGTGGTATCTCATTATCGTTTCAATTTAGGTTTCTCTGGTGACTATTGAAGTTGATGACTGTTTCACATGTGTTTATTGGCTATTTGTGTATGGTCCTTTGAAGACAGTTCATATCCTTTGCCCATTAAAACAATTTTTTGCTTCCTGGGCGTGGTTACTCATGCCTGTAATCCCAGCACTTAGGGAGGCCAAGGCAGGCAGATTATCTGAGGTCAGTAATTCAAGACCAGCCTGGCCAACATGGCAAAACCACATCTCTACTAAAAATACAAAAATTATCTGGGCATGGTGGTGCGTGACTGTAATCCCAGCTACTCAGGAGGCTGAGGCAGGAGAATGCTTGAACTAGGAAATTGGAGATTACAGTGAGCTGAGTTCATGCCACTGCACTCCAGCCTGGCGATAGAGCGAGACTTCGTCTCAAAAACAAAAAAGTAAAAAATATGTTTTTTCATATCTGCTACAGAATTGAGAAGAAACTAGGATCTAGAACATGGTTATCTTTTCCCTTAGGCTCTAAGCTTCTTGAAGATAATATATGTTAAATACTTATTCTTTGCAAAAGCATTTTTAAATTTTAAAATATTTTGGGAATTAAAAAATAAAATCTCTTTAAACATTGTATTTATATCTAGCCTGCCACTATTATATAAATAGTATTAAAAGTGACCAGGTTAGTGAAACATTGTGTGATAGCTTAGAGCTCCACCTCTGGAATCCAAGATTATCTTTACTTCTCAGCATTATGACGTTTGGCACGTTATTCAACTCAAGACTCAATTTGTTCATCTGCGAAGTGAGAAATAATATCACTTTCCCTTAGAATGTCTATGAGGATAAACTTACATATTGCATGTAAAACACTAGTATATTCCTTTCATTATTGACGTTTTTTTTTCCTGGTATCTGAGACTTGGTTTCTAGATCTCATCCTTAAGAATTGTTATTATGTGATACTTCTGTATCTATTACTTTGTAGTAATTACACTATTTTGTAAGTTCTTGTTTACATACTCAACTTTATAAGATTCTTGAGGGCGGAGTCCTTGCCTTGTTCATCTTAATCACAAATATCACAGGCATTTAAATGAACTTAGTAAATGTTAAGTGGTTAAATAATCAGATTTGCGCTGCTGCTCTGAAACACTTTAGGTGTTCTGGAATGTGGGTACTGTGGTGATAGTTGGGGGAGGCCAGATAATTGCAGAGGGAAGTTAATATGGCATAGCAGAAAGAGCAGGGAAATTCTAGCTTTTACTGTGTCATCCTCTACCTGTATTTACTAGAGAAAATTACTTGCCGGGCGTGGTGGCTCAAGCCTGTAATCCCAGCACTTTGGGAGGCCAAGGCGGGTGGATCACGAGGTCAAGAGATCGAGACCATCCTGGCCAACATGGTGAAACCCCATCTCTACTAAAAATGCAAAAAATTAGCTGGGCATTGTGGCGCGTGCCTGTAATCCCAGCTACTCAGGAGGCTGAGGCAGGAGAATTGCCTGAACCCAGGAGGCGGAGGTTGCGGTGAGCCGAGATCGCGCCATTGCACTCCAGCCTGGGTAACAAGAGCAAAACTCCATCTCAAAAAAAAAAAAAAGAAAGAAAATTACTTAACTTCCTAGGACCTCGGTTTCCTTAACTATAAAATAAGTAAGGTGTTCCAGGTCTGCAGTTCTGTGCTATCTTGGAGTCAGGTTTTCAGATGTGCGTTTGGAGAGGAAGGCATGAGAGGGCAGGAATATATCTCAAGTTCTGTGGTTTGTCCCAAGCAAATCTTCTGATCCTATAGTCAGTGTAACTTAGGGACAGTACGTTTTTTATGGGTTTTTGTTTATTTTCAAGAGCCAGACTTCCTTGGTTGTTCATCATTGCTGTTTAGGCCTTCAAGTCTTAGATGTGACATCACATCATCTAGCTTTTTACTGCCTTTCTCTTTGCAATAATTCAAACTTCTGTGCTAGATTCCAAATGTTCTAAGTTACCAAGTTGGATATTTTCGTTCGTTTGGTTGGTGTTTTTTTTGGTTGTTTACACACTGTCTATGTATAAGACCTTCTGTAGTTACATGGCAGTGTTGCTGCAGATGTTATAGACCTAGAAGGTGGCAATCTCTACTCATATTTTTTAGGCTTTCTTAAGTGTTAAAATTATAAGTTGGTCATTTTATCGCACAATTTAACAATATCAGATTTTAATGTGTTAGAATAAATTTGGACACATTTTACAATTTATTTATTTTTAACACTGCTACTATTTAGTGCAGCTTTAATACTCTTCTTCCCATGGTGCTAGTCTATTGAAGTCATTTTTTTTTTAACCTGCATTTTTCTACAAGTAAGTCTTCTTACTAATTTTCTTTTGGATACCCATCCTATATATTTAGTCTTTATGTCTCATTACCAAAAAAGAAAAAGGAAAGAACAAACACTGCAGCCAAGAGTGCAGAGAAACTTCTGTGCACGTACTTGATCAAAATTAAACAAAAACTATTAGATTGGACCTTTTCTTCAGTTAGTATAAATAAACATGCATCGTGTGGGGCTCTGGATGTGCATAGATTAGTAACACTGAAAGCACTCTTCTTTCTTAGCCTTTTATTAGGGGAAGGAATACAGCTTGGTCTCTTGAAAGAGAGAGATTTCTAGTGAAATACGATGTCTCAAGTGACCGTCTCGTAGTTTGTAGACGCGTTGTTAAAACATTCTTTTTTCCTTTTGTTTTGTTTTCTTTCTTCTTTGAGACAGGGTCTCACTTTGTTGCCCAAGCTGGAGTGCAGTGGCCCGATCAACGCTCACTGTAACCTTGACCTCCCAGGTTCAAGCCGTCCTCTCACCTTAGCCTTCTGAGTAGGTGGGACTATAGGCGTGTGCCACCATACCTGGCTAACTTTTTTTTTTTTTTTTTTTTTTAAGAGATCATGTCCTACTGTATTGCTCAGTGTAGTCTCAAACTCCCAAATTCAACTGATAATTTCTTCTTGGCCTCCCAAAGTGTTGGAATTACAGGGATGAGCCTCTGTGCCTGGCCTAAAACATTCTGATTTACTATAACTGACAGTAACAGCAGTGTCTTAACCCAAAATTACTTCATGTTAGGGACCTGCCTTTCAAAATAGTGCATTATTGGTGAGTTTTACCATCACAGGCTTTCAGTATTATGTGAAGCATAATAATGCAAAATGTGAAGCAAGGAGCAGGATTGTTTGAAAATGACCTGAGTATTCACTTGAGTTGCTTCAACAAGGAGCCATCTGGTACTATCCCTCCATTCCTTTCTCCCAGTAGGATTATCTGCATTCAGGTTTTGCTTATCTTTAAGCTACTGGCTTCCTTCTCACCACCTCAAGCATCTTGTTTTCTCTAGTTGCTTGGTAGGTGGGGCTTCTAGCTGTCACCAAAATTTAGAATGCTTAGTGCCAGGTAATCTGTTTGTTCCTCCACTGTTACACATTCTTGTACTATAAGGAATTGCAAACAGGATAATACGTAAAGATTGGCTTCATTAGAAATTAGAGGATATGTAGCTGTTCATAGTGGCATGTACTTGGGGTGTCAGCTACTCAGGAGGCTCAGGTAGGAGGATCACTTGAGCCTGGGAGGTCAAGGATGCAGTGAGTCTTGATCATGACACTGTACTCCAGCCTTGGCAACAAAGTGAGACTGTCTCAAAATAAAGAGTGGTGGGGAGAAGAGGGAGAGGGAGAGGAAGAGAGAATTATAACAAGTTATACTAAGCAAGCAAGGTTTGTTTTGTTTTGTTTTACAAAACAGCTTCTGCCATGGTGAAAATAACCCTTCCAGAAGACCATGTCTGTTTATTCTCAACTGTTACAGGCTGTACCGAGACTGTAGGTCATTAGAAGACCTGCATATCTCAAGAACTTAACTTTTCCCGATCCCTCTTTGTTTCGCTGATGAAGTATTATGACTTTAGAATAGGAATATGAGCTGAGAGTTGTTGATTGTATGAGGAGAATGTTGACATTCACCAGGGGTCATCAAGAAGAGGAGGGTTCTGATAAGAGATGTCCCGAATCCTTGCCTACAAATGGACTGTTTTGTGATTCCGTGGCAACTTCTTTGGTGCGCTGTTGATGTTAACGTGTAACCTTTTAAGCATTCTTCTGCTTAGGAGAAGGGGATCTTTAGTATACTTGGCATAAGTTAAAATTTAGGAGAGATGGTATCTGGGGTGTTTTCTGTATTCAAAGGACATTGCAGAATATGTACCATATAACAGAATAATTAGATGAGCTTTAGCAACTGCTTATTAAAAGAGGTGACTAATGCATGACACCCAAAAGAAGAAAGAACTGACGAGGTTTTAGTTGTACAAAGAGCAGAAACAGAATCTGCTCAAAAGAACTGTAGCATCAAGTTACAGTTTTTGGAAAAAAAAAATGTTAAACAGTAAGTGGTTGTGTAAAAACTTGTTGAGATTATACATATGTCTTCGTGACAGATGAAACATTTCAATTTTAAGCTGTAAATGGGATTTTTAAGTGAGCGGAAGAAACAGATCTTGGTACACGTAAGTGGGAAAATTTACAGATGTGAAAACAATTTGATAAAAAGCTAACTTCATTGGCACAGAGCTAAAAAGGTGTGTAAAACAGGTTTTTTAAAAAACTTACATTTTAAGTTATAATATTGGCCTAGATTAATATTTGGGTCTCCCCTCCTCTAGACGCAGTACAAATAACCACCTTCTCTGGTGTTTCCTGCCTACCCATCTTCCACGTTCTTTTACAAGAGAATAGACAAATAGATAGAGAATTGATGATAATTGATGTCATACTTTACCTAGGTAGCCTTAACATCATAACATTTCTTTTCTGTATTTTAACAGTCTAGTAATATATATTCAGTGAATGATTCTCATTAATGAGCTAACTAGTAATCATTGTTGAAAGCATGTAATTGCAGTAATGCAGCAGTGTTAAATGTTTATGGTTTGCTTTCTTTTTGTAGAACACAAAGTAATTATAGTGGGACTGGATAATGCAGGGAAAACCACCATTCTTTACCAATTGTAAGTATTGGTGTTTATTAAACAGTTTTCACTAGTTACTGAAACTAATATGTTTATAATTATATGTTGTTTTTTTTTTTAAATTTTGCTAAACACAATCTATAGAAAAGTGAGTGAAATCAACAGTTGTATATTTGCTAAAGCCTTCACAAACACTAAATTTTCTTCTGGCCTTGAAAGAAAGACTTAATATTAAACAAAAATAAATAAAGGCTGGGGTGAGGTGATAAAGTGGATTTCACTTAGTTCTTCTCACACTGAGGTTGTTGTAAATAAATTGATACCTCTATGAAGCTATTGCTACCCTCCTGACTAATAGCTTTGGAATTGTTTAACGTAGCCAGACTTGTCAAGTCAAAAGAAATGTGATCACTCCGAAAATATTGCTGTAGTAGCTTGCAAGAGGGAGAGGCTTGAGACTTTCAGAGAAATCTGTAAATACCTTAGGAAATTCCACTTGTTAGGCTACTTTCCATTATCCTTTCAGTGCCAATGAAATGATCCTTATTAAGCAATTGAAATGAATCCACCAAACACTTTAACAAAATAGTTATACATTTCTTTGTACCATTATGTGGCTCTTACCTCTTGCCACTCATCTTGCGTTGGAAGACAGCCCGTAGCTCACCAGAAGTAGCCAGTGATTAATGCATTTGTCAGCTACTTTGCTAAAAAGCTACTAACTTAAGGTTGGTTGCTTCAGAGTTGAATAACTACTTGTTTTTCTTGAAAATATTTTTATCCATTGGTTATTGTGTCTAAATATGAAATAGCTTTTAAACATCACATGAAATCATTTCGGAAACCTGTCATTTTTGTTGAAATAATTTTATAGATGTCTTCAAAAATATACATAAAACCCAAGAGAGAATTGCACGCCTCCTCCAACACAGTACTGGTACATTACCTGCAAGGACATATTTGTTGAATTAATTGATAAATGTAGCCTTACAAATGATTATGACAATACCAGGGGTATGAGCATCAGTATTCTAAGTGTGTGTGTGTGTGTATTTGAGACAGAGTTTTGCTCTGTTGTTGACGCTGGAGTGCAATGGCACGATCTCCACTCACTGCAGCTTCCACATCCCAGCTTCAAGCACTTCTCCTTCTTCAGCTTCCTGAGTAGCTAGGATTACAGGCGCCCGCCACCATGCCCTGCAAATTTTTGTATTTTTAGTAGAGATGAGGTTTTGCCATGTTGGTCAGGCTAGTCTCAAACTGTTGACCTCAGGTGATCCACCCGAAATACTAGAATTACAGGCGTGAACCACCACTCCTGGCCTTCTAAATATATTTAGAGATAATTAAAATTTTCACTTGCCCATGGTCGTCTTTTTAGGACTACTTTAGATTAATATGCCTGAACTAATTTTTGTGGCTAAGTCTCAGTTTAGACAGTCTTCAAAATTGTGGATAGCCTACTATCCAATATTTGCTATTTTGCAAGTATTAGTGTCACAGTCACCTAAAAACTTGCTGTTTCAAGATGGGATGGGACATTGGGTCTTATCTAACTGATAGCAGGGCCTGGTGGTGTGGCAGTTTTTGGCCACAGAAATGCAAATTCACACCACACTGTTTCCTTCCTTTCCCATCAAGCTTGCAATTCCTTCCATTATAAAAACAAATAAAAACCAAAAACAAAGTCTTTGTTCTGAAGTTGTTTAGCTATTTATTGCACAAATGTTCTCCAGGTTTCTAATTTTCATGCTAATGATCATTGGTGCAGAACATTGATTGATCTTAAAAATAGAGAGATAAAAGTTGCTTCAGGTTCTCAAGATTTATAAGAGCTTTTGTCTTGTCTTTTAACAGCTTAATGAATGAAGTGGTTCATACTTCTCCAACCATAGGCAGCAATGTTGAAGAAATAGTTGTGAAGAACACTCATTTTCTTATGTGGGATATTGGTGGTCAGGAGTCCCTGCGGTCATCGTGGAACACATATTACTCAAACACAGAGGTATGCTAAAATTAATTTTGAATTTTAATTAAAAGGACCGAAGAGTAAATATAGAAAGTAGATAGTCTGCACCTGGTCATGCTGACAGTTGCCTTTTAATAAGATCCCTTGTTGTAAGGAATTTGGGTGGCTTAATTAGGCCACAGGGTCCAGTGTCACAGGTCGATTCATCAGTTGAGGCAGGAACAATGGTAAAATTTCACAAGGTCAGTTATCAGGCACTGCAGGAGCTAGCTCTTCTTCTCCCTTTGCAGTTTTTCTGTTACCTTGGTCTTTCTGGCTCGGGGAGGCCAGCTGGAGCTGTATGTGTGAGTCACAGGGGTCACCATGACTTGACTATGGTGTAGTCCATGGTGCACTCAGTTCAAAGAACCTTGCATCACTGTTTGCCAGCTGGTCTCAAACTCCTGACCTCATGATCCGCCTGCCTCGGCCTCCCAAAGTGTTGGGATTACAGACGTGAGTCACTCTGCCTGGCCAAATTTGGGTTTTCAAGTAGAAGAAAAGGCAAATAGAAAGCCTATTGGGAGCTGTTATTAGTTGAATGCTTACTGTTGGCCAGGCTCTCTCCATTCATCTTCACCATAGTTTTTTTTTTTTTTTTTTTTAAGACGGAGTCTCACTCTGTCACCCAGGCTGGAGTGCAATGGGGTGATTTTGGCTCACTGCAGCCTCCACCTCCCGGGTTCAACCAATTCTCCTGCCTCACCCTCCTCCTGAGTAGCTAGGACTACAGGCCCGTGCCACCACGCCCAGCTAATGTTTTGTATTTTTAGTAGAGATAGGATTTCACCATGTTAGCCAGAATGGTATTGTATCAGTCTCCTGACATTGTCATCCACCCACCTCAGCCTCCCAAAGTGCTGGGATTATAGGCGTGAGCTACTGTGCCTGGCCCATTGTCACCATATTTTAATGTCTCCAAGCTGGGGGAGTCTGACACTTGGAGAAATTATATAGCTTTTCCTAAGATCTCACAACTTTCTAAGAGACCCTGACTCGGGGAGGAATAAAATATTTTACATTTTTTAAGTATAACTTAATTTAAAATTTTCTTATAACATGAATTGAACATTTAAATGGTGGTAGATTGTATTTTAATTTTTAAAAAGTGGATTTGTAAATCATTTGTCCAAGTTCTCTGTCACTTGTAAGTTCAGAGCTAACCTGGGGAACAAACCTGGATATATTCGTCTTCTATTTCTGCTCTTATTTCTTCGTAGAGGCAGATGTTCTTTTAAGGCCATTCAGTACAGTTTAGAGAGATAGATCCTTGAGAGTATGAGTTCACAGTTGCATCCATTTAATTGTTCTTTGCAAAGAAGTACACCTAACCAATTATTTTTTCTAAAATGAAAGCTTTTAAAAATTGGAGTTGGTAGGGAGGAGGTGGAAAAGGATGTAATGTGAAGAATTTTTAAAAAAGAACTAAGTTACTTTTTTAAATAAAAATAACTGTACTGTTGTAGATTTATATTATAGTAGCATGTGTGCGTGTGTGTATATATTCCATTGCAATGTGTACGCAGTGAACTCAGATGCCATATTGTAGATGATCAGCACTTGTGGTAGCACTTAACTATTTTATTGGGGATGCAGAAGATGTTGGTAAGCAAATAGTATGGAGGATAGCTTATTATATATTTATACCTTGAAATAATGTTCTGAAACCAGAATAAGTTAGAAACTAAAGGAAGGACCAAACTAAGTGGCTCACTCCTGTAATCCCAGCACTTTGATGGGCTGAGGTGCGGGGATCACTTGAGGCCAGGAGTTCAAGACCAGCATATCTAACATGGCAAAACCCCATCATCTCTTCTAAAAATACAAGACTTAGCCAGGCATGGGGGCATGTGCCTGTAGTCCCAGCTACTCCAGAGGACAAGGCATGAGAATGGCTTGAACCTAAGAGGCAGAGGTTGCAGTGAGCTGAGATAGCACCACTGCACTCCAGCCTGAGTCTCACTGTCTCAAAAAGAAAAAAAAAAGTAAGAGACAAATGACATTGTTGCATATAATTAATTTAAACATCAGAGCTGTTAGTAGTATAAAGCTGACAGTTAACTCCAGATGTGAAAAGAGTACTTACTGAGGAATAGGTCAAAGTAGTTTCTAGTGTATCCATATGTACTTCAAGTATTTCAAAGGAGTGGTTCTTGAAATGACTGAAAGTCTGGAGGACTTAGCATGGGTCCAGAAAGATATCCATTACTGATACCATTTGCATGAAATGTTCTTTTAATGAGTGATCTCTACAAAAATATCAAAATTACTACAAAGAACAAAGGCCCCTGTCACTTTGCTTTTTGAAAGTTCTTCACATTGAAGAGTCCCTTAAAAGCTGCAGTGTGTCCATTATAATACAAGAAGTTACAGTTGTTAAGTAATTCCCGACATGTTTCTCTCATTAACTCACAGTTGCACCCCCAACTTCTGTCCATTCCTTCTTTGCCACGTGGCCTTCTTTCCATTTATCCCCTTCTAAGCCCAACTCAGTTTATATTCATTTTCGTTGTCTGTTTCCTGTCGGCGACCTTCGTGGTCGCCAGATGTCAGGGACCGTCCGGGACGGGTAGGCACGTCTGCCGGGGGTCTCTCGACCTGCAAGAGGGTCCCAGTACCTGGAAGAGAGCATGCGCTTGGAAAAATATGAAAGAGACAGAGAAAAAGTGAGGCGTCTGGAGGGCTGAATAGGCTGTGCCTAAATAGCAAATTTTATTTTTCAAATGCCAGGAATAAATGCACTTTCTTTGCTCTGGTTTACCTCATAGCAAGAGGAAATACAAATCTATACCTTACATGGCCTATATGATAGAGAAATCAGATATGCAATCAGTGGTTGTAACAGAATTTCCTGTGATCCCAAAGCTTGTTTACATCCAGATATTATTCCTCCTGGCTGCAGGTATTTCTGGTTTTCCTCATCAGAATATCTTTTAACTGGATTCTCCTTTGTCTGCTCCTGACTCAACTTATCTCAACTTCCCCATTCAGGAGTCTCTGAGTCAGGAATCAAAGCCATCCCTTATGGTGGCATTTGCTTTGCAAATATCCCGACAGTTAAACCATTATCTAGGGTACAAGGCAGTCAGGTAAGTAAAGAAAAGGTTAAAGCTTATTCTTAAAGAAAGCCTCATAAAAAAGTTAAAAGCAGGAACCGGTTGCTGGCAGGGGGTCACTCGGTCTAGCAGCACCAGACCGCATAGTTTTAGGCCCAAACGATATTGTGGTTGATATTAGAAACTGATCATCCATCTTTAAGTTCCTTTTTTCCCCGATAGCTCGACTGTCTCCAGTAGGAAACTGTGTTTGGGATCAAACTCACCGTATAGTGAGACTCACACCTTTTGGGGGTCTCACACGGGAACGTTCCCCACAATTTCCCTACTTGTATTTATTTATTTTTAATTTATTTTATTTTATTTTTTTTGAGACAGAGTTTCACTCTTGTTGCCCAGGTTGGAGTGCAATGGTGTTATACTCGGCTCACTGCAACCTCCGCCTCACGGGTTCAAGCCATTCTCCTGCCTCTGCTTCCTGAGTAGCTGCAGTTACAGGCATGTGCTACCACACCTGGCTAATTTTGTATTTTTAGTAAAGATGGGGTTTCACCATGTTGGTCAGGCTGGTCTCAAACTCCTGACCTCAGATGATCTGCCCACCTTGGCCTCCCAAAGTGCTGGGATTACAGGCGTGAGCCACAGCACCCAGCCTATTTATTTTTCTGAGATAGAGTTTCACTGTGTTAACCAAGCTAGAGAGCAATGGCTTGATCTCAGTTCACTGCAACCTCTGCCACCCATGTTCAAGCAATTCTCCTGCCTCAGCCTCCCAAGTAGCTGGGACTACAGGTGCACACTACCACACCTGGCTAATTTTTGTGTTTTTAGTAGAGACAGGGTTTCACCATGTTGGCCATGTTGGTCTTGAACTGACCTCAAGTGATCCAGCCACTTTGGCCTCGAAAAGTGGTGGGATTACAGTCGTGAGCCACCGTACCCAGCCTGTTTCCCTAATTTTAAAGTCATCTCTGTAATCTGATTTCACCCTTGCTGTCACAGTAATAAATAGAAGCAAAATATTGCATCTATTTCCTGCTGTAATAGCATGATTTCATCTCATTTCTTTTTATTCTGTATAAAGTATTCAGTTTAAGGGCCCTTTCTCACTATATCATCTCCATCTCCTCCTCCTCTTCCTCACTCCCTCCCTTTTCTTTTAGTGAGTCAGGGTCTCTCTGTAACCCAGGCTGGAATGCAGTTGCATGATTTTCAGTGCAGCCTCAACCTTTTAGGCTCAAAGCAGTCCTCCCACCTCAGCCTCCCAAGTAGGTGGGACTGCATGCCTGGCTAATTTTTATTTGTATTTTTTGTAGAGAGGTAGTGTCTCATTATGTTGCCCAAGCTGGTCTCAGACTCCTGGGTTCAAGCATTCATCCCACCTCACCTTCTGGAGTGCTGGGATTACATGTGTGTGAGCCACCATGCCTGGCCTATATCTTCTTCTTTTTAGTTTATTTTTTGATATGGAAGACCTATGTTTTTTCATGTATACTTTTATCAACAGATTTCTCCTGTTTTTTTTTTTTTTTTTTTCTTGCTTTTTGCCTTTATTTAATTTCATCTGCATCTCCAGTATATTAACCTCTAAGTATATATGTTTCAATCTTGAGCATTTATGGTTGATACTGTTTTATAAAAATGTCTTATTTATGTTTAAAATGCATTTATCTTTTTCTTTCAAACTAGCTTTTCTTTCTAGGAGTTAGGAGATTGTGGTATATATAAGTAAGCAATTATTGATTGTTTAGAAGAATGAGAATGGGGTACTTTTGAAGTTTCAGTGAAAAATATTATTTAATGTAAGTTTCTTTTCAAAACTTACTTTTTGCTAACAGCATTTGAAAACATCATAGTACTACGTATTTGGGCATCACTTGAAGAAAATCAAGTTGGGCACAGTTTTTATTTGTTGAAGTTATGAGTTATCATTTTCTTATTAACATTCAGATTTTACTGCTTGACATAAAATCAGTTTATGATGAAAAAGCAGTAGATGTTTTATAGTAATGATGATGCCATGTAGAGAAAGTACTTAAATAACTTGAGTAGTTTTACAGAAAACTTTTCAACACCCCATTCAATTTTTTGTCTTTCCTTTTAATTTTCTTCTAGTTCATCATTCTTGTTGTTGATAGCATTGACAGGGAACGACTAGCTATTACAAAAGAAGAATTATACAGAATGTTGGCTCATGAGGTAACTATTTAAAGCAAATCTTTAAAAAACAATGTAGTCAAGTACCCGTAAATTGCCTTTGCTTTTTTACAAAGATAATGTGATGTGTCGTTGGCCATTTGATCATTAACACAACTTTATACTAAACTGATAAAAGTCTTGAGGTAAAAAATGTTCGTTACTTTTTCAAACTTAAAAAAAAAAATAACATGTTAATTTGTAGATTATTACTGTTACTGCAAAAATTGTTCAAAGTTACTTAAGCATGCATTTGAAAGTCTGATAAATTGAGGTAAGCAATAGGAAAACTTAAGGGTCTTTTTCCCAAAAGTTTATCATAACTGAAAGTTCTTGGATGAATAACTTGAAATCACTTAATTCTAAGTATTTCAGGTATTTAAGAAAACTTAGTAAAACACATTCATGCACCATATCAATGTGAGATATGAAGTGTCTTTCCATACCTTGCCAATCCGATTTTCTTCCCTTCTTTTTCAGAGGTAACTACTATTCTACAAGTGGTGATTGTTATTCTTACGCATATTTTTATACTTTGACTACATTTTTATGTCTTGAAATTATACAGAGTATTGTATTTCATGCTTTTTAAAACTAATGCTATATAACATATATTCTTCTGCAACTTGCTTTTTTTTGTACAACATTGTGATTTATCCGTGATACATTGTGATTTATTTATGTGAATATGTACTGCTTTAGTTCATTCCTTTTAACAACTCTGTAGTTTTCCACAGTATGAATACATCACAGTCAATCTATTCTTCTAATATTTTGGTAGTATAAATAGTGCTAAAATGAATGTTAACCAGTGAGTTATGTTATACAAAGACTAATATGTGATAAGTATTGCCCAGCTTCTACCAGTATTCTACTTTTAAGTTCTGGAGAAACTCTAGTATTTGGCAACTTACTACCATATTTGCCTATTAGAATATTATTTATGTAGTTTTGAGTCAGTATTTAAAATTCAGATGTACTTTTTCCAGTGTGACCAATGTGTCTCAAAAAATAAAAAATAACTTTTCATTATTTAATACTACTCTGTTAGAATGAATAATGAAATTATGGGTATTTGAGATTATATTAAATATTAGTGCCCGATTGTGTTAAAGTAGAAGCCCTTCATTATAACTGTTCAGCTTGGTAAATTTAAATTGTGGTATTTCACATATTGGAAATATTTTGTCCTGATTGCAGGATTTACGGAAGGCTGCAGTTCTTATCTTTGCAAATAAGCAGGATATGAAAGGGTGTATGACAGCAGCTGAAATCTCAAAATACCTCACCCTTAGTTCAATTAAGGATCACCCGTGGCACATTCAGTCCTGCTGTGCTCTCACAGGAGAAGGGTAAGTGTTCCCTGGTCTGAGGGAAGGTGTGACTTCTTTCAGATTTCTTCCAGCTTCCTAGGCCAACTTTTCTTCTTGAATTCTGTTTCTTTTTTGTTTGTTCTTAATTAAAGGTAATTTTTTTTTTTTTACAGTGTCTCTCAGGCTTATGACATAGAAATAATTCTAGTAGAATCACTGGCAACTTAAAAACTTTTAATGTAAATATAATGTTTTACCAAGAAAAAGCAATAAACTATTGAATTGAGTTTTCATAATCCAAATTTTTTTATGTTCTTTGTTGCTTTTATCGTATACTGAGAATACACTGTAATGTTACCTTTCTTTTAAAGAAGAAGCTTGCAAGTAATTTCACATTTTCAGCAAGGATTTAAACCTAAGCTCTCAGCTTTCTTCAAGAGTACATCTCCTTTGTTATTAGGAGGTCTTAATTGGGAGGCATAATTCTATACAATAAACATTTGAGACAAATGCCATAGTAGTCTGTTCTTCCATTTCTAACAATTTGAATGTGGCTATTAGGCCAGGAAGAACCCAATGTTATTTACGTTTTACCCAGTTTATATCGGAGAACTTACTTATCCTCAAATCAACCTCACCTTAGTTTTTCTCTTAGTATTTATCAGAAATGGCTTGCAGTCTAATAGCTGTGTGTAGGCTTTTTTGACTCATACTTTTAAGACTGAGTCGTAAGTATTCCATTCTTTAGAATTTAGGAGGGTAAGGTGAAGTTCCTGCTATCTTTCTGTAATGGTTTAAGTTTCAGTTAATTTTAAAAAGCAAGGAGTATTTGCGAGCGTTATGACCAAACCAGCAAAGTTATATCTTCAAGATGAGACCGAAGCAATTTCCTGCAAACTGATTAAGAATATTTAAATGACTATTCCATTTAAAAATTTCAGTGTTGCCGGGCGCGGTGGCTCAAGCCTGTAATCCCAGCACTTTGGGAGGCCGAGGCGGGTGGATCACAAGGTCAAGAGATCGAGACCATCCTGGTCAACATGGTGAAACCCCGTCTCTACTAAAAATACAAAAAATTAGCTGGGCATGGTGGCGCGTGCCTGCAATCCCAGCTACTCAGGAGGCTGAGGCAGGAGAATTGCCTGAACCCAGGAGGCAGAGGTTGCGGTGAGCCGAGATCACGCCATTGCACTCCAGCCTGGGTAACAAGAGCAAAACTCTGTCTCAAAAAAAAAAAAAAAAAAAAATTTCAATGTTTATATTGTTACTTGAATGTTGACACTGATGTATGTAAATAATGATTATGCTACCAGCCTTTGGTTAAGACTTAAAAATAAGCATGCTTTCAGTTTTTAAGTATGACGTTTTTAATGTTAAAAATACTTCTATCTTTTGTTCAGGTTATGCCAAGGTCTAGAGTGGATGACCTCCCGGATTGGCGTGAGATAACTTTTTTGCTCGAAAGAGACTGCTCTATTTATTCTGTGACATGAACATTTTTTCCTAGTACCTTTGGCTGCTAAGGCAGCAGCATGTTTAATTTATAACAACACAAACCTCTGAGAGCAACACTTGAATCAAGTGCAGCTGAACATGAAAGATTTTTTCTTAACTTTTTTTTTTAACGCACTAATCTTCAGTTGGATGAACATAATGTATAACTGTTTTCAGCAACAAGTCTTCTGTTTATTCTAATTATTCAGTGACTGCCTTGTAAGAAATGTTTGTCTCAAGTGTAATGTCTTCTGAAATATTGTTATGACCTTAATGACCAATTGCTTTCAATTCTTGACCACCCCTCCCTCCCAACCAGAGAATTACTGGTTTGATAGAGTAGTCATGGAAACCATCAGGTACTGCTTGCAAACTTCTCTGGCACTAAACAGTTGTTCCCTGTATAAGCCATTCATCTGTTGGACAGAACTTACTATAAAGAAAGAAATCTACCTTGAGGATATATGTAAGGAAGATTGTACATCAGGAGTACTTGCTTTTTAACTTTGCCCTCATTACTGCGAGTCATGGAATAATGTTATTTGCATGGAAATTAAGTTGGCTGTTTATTTATCTAAAGGAATCAAGTTCACTCTTCTGTCTACAACATTTGGTCAAAAACTAATTAAGGTAAAAGATTTATTTAAAAGCCCAGCTTTGATGTTAAATATTCTTGAATAAATCTGATATTCTCAGAATGTCACATTATTCAATGCATATAAAACTATCAAAATTTAGCAAAGCATACCAGCACTAAAAATAAGACAGTTGGAATATATTTTAGTATCAGTTTATAAACAATTTTATTATCAACAGAAATTTTAGCTATTTTCTTTGCAAGATATATCACAACTGCTTTGGGCAGTGGCTAAAACCGAAGTATGAAGAGTCCATTTCATATCTTAAGATTTGGAATTGTGTCTGTCATAGCATTTTTACCACCAGCAGTGTATTACTTTAAAAACTACATGGCTTTCCTTGAATTTATTTGACGGTATTATGTAATAGACTTGAAACAGTTGACATCTTTGTAGTTATGCCTTGGGTCTTATAGGAAGCTGCTGAATTTAATCCTAGCTTTTAGAATATTAATATGAAACTCAGAGTTAATATTCTTAACAACTTATAAATTAAAAAGAAAAAGTCATAATCTATCAAAAGTTTATTGGATGGCATTAAAAGGTTTTTGAGGCAGTTGTCTAATATGAACAATAATCTAAACAGTATATTCCTTAAATTAAGAGGGAAGACAAGTGTTGTATTTCGATCCTGTTTATTCAAATGTGTAATTTTGCTGAAATGAAAGGGATAAAATGAATATATAGAGAATATAAAATGATACAAATAATCGTTTTTGCAGTATTTTAAAATTTTGATCAGAAATATGATTCAGTGTTCATAATATCAAAATATGTGTTCAAAATTGGCATTTTAATTTTAATCTTTTTTATTTGTAAGTTGATTTAAATTTTGCTCTTTTTTCTGGTGTATTATATTTAGTCAAGTTAATTTAGTCGAATGTGGTAACGTTTTTCTGATTTATCTTGAATTGTAGCACACCCTTGAACTGAACAATGGCCAGAGGAAAGCTTTCTGGGCTTTGGAAAGTAGTTGTTGAACTTTGTTTTAAACCTTTTTCTTAGTGATTCTATATCAAATAGAGTATAAGTTTAGTTTAACTTAGTTTAGTTTTTAAATAACCGTTAATCAAGAACATGGAAATAATAAGAACATAAAAAGCAGACATAAATCAATATGGATGCTTTGTGGTGTGTGTGGGGTGTGGGGGAGTTAAGAAGATGCTGTTTACCTAAGCACAGTTTGCCTGAATTTCTACTTGGTTATGTTGTTTACCATAAGGACTGAGGATAATTCTCATAAGTCTGTCTTGAGAAAAAGCATACTTAATAGTCCTGTATTTGTTCTTATGAAATGGTTATCTGCCTTCTTGTATCGAGTGGATTGGCTGGCTGAATTTTCTTCTGTCAAATTATATGGTTATTTTTTATATTACCACATCAGCATTATATTAAAAGTGTTTTTAATAGTTGATTGTATTTTGCCAACTACTAGTACAGACTCAAATTTGCTATTTAATTTTTAAAATACAATTTATTTTCTAAATCCTTTAATAAATATTTGGTTAGTTTTGGATTAGAAATGATTTATGTTAGCCATGTGTTGAAGATGAAATTGGCATCAGTGTAAAGTGTTCTGATTGGGAAAGTTCATGATTAGCAAATTCATGTAATACTTTTTAGGAGTATTTTTTAGGTTTTCACTCAAGTCTTTCCTGTTACAGTAACATGAAAACTGATTATTCTGTACTCCAAGAGAATGTTTTAACCCAAGCAAGTATCTAATACTAGAGCATTGATTCTGACATTCATTGTGAATCAGTGAATTATAAGATACAGTCTGAAAAGTGTATATTTGTAATTAGTGCCTTTATTCATATTTTGAAATAAGTTCTCAGTTTTATATTGTACCTGTTCTTTAGAAGTCACATTAGCAGCTCATTATTTCAGTGATGAAATAATTTGTGTTTCATACCCCTCTTCACCTCCATGTATTGGCTAGCACAGTTTATTGTAAGTGAAAAGCAAGACACCCACTTACATTAACATTACCTTCAGGAAGGAGACTGTCCTACCTTTTATTTTTAATTTGAAAATTAAAGAAATTAAATTTTAACTGAAATCTTTTAAGTATGTTATAACCAAAGTGTAAAGTTATCCTTGCAAGTTCAGATACAACATTTTTCTTAATTTTGAGCATGTCATTGTCCTTCATTCATCTTTAATTAAACCCATCATTCTTATTGAAGCCCATTTGAGAACTTTTAGAATTAATAGGACCTTTTATAAGGGAATATACTGAATATTTTTTATTGTTAATGTAACTAATTCCTTAAAACCTGGAATATTAATATATATAATCTATTAAAACTGAAGATTAAATATGTAATTTTTGCTTTTAGTTTGTGTTAGTATGCTTAAAGGTATCATTACTTTTATTCTATATTTATTAAAGGAAAGGTAATAAATTCATGTTTCATTGCTGAAAAATTTTAAATGGGAGTCACCCCATAGCCATAGTCATTTTAATTAAGCATAATTAAACTTTCATTATAACATAAAGAGAAAATAATTAGTTTACAGTGGAAACAATGATAGGCAGAATTTTGTCATAAACAAAATTCTCTGAAAAGTTATGGAGGTCACAAAGAAAATTTTAAAGAAGATAGAAGCTTAAAAAAAAACCACCTTTTTAGTATATTTTTTAGGACAAATTATAATTGTTCTGAATGATCAATTTTTATTTAGTGCTTAACTATGTAAAACCATATCAGTAGAAAAATGTACTGGTGTCTTGTGTAAAGATGGATAAATTTTGTTGGAATTTATCTTTGGAGACCAACTTTACGAGGTTTTTCATTTATGGCTTTGGAACCAAAAAAACCTAACTCTAATTCAGTTCTAAAGGATATTTTACATTTTGCCTGGGTAAAGTGACTTCAAGATACAGCATGGTATCTTGTATCTAGTAGAATACTGTGCTGGCCATCCAAAAAAGTGGATTCGAGTCTTAATTTGGCCATTTGTCAGTTGTCTAGTTGACCATAGACAGTTAGCGTCCATGGCTTTTCTTTTGTTTTTCCCGTTTGGAGGAACTTAAACTACAGCTCTAAAATGCCTTTTGGTTTTAAAATTCTTAATTCTTACATGCTATTATTAAAAATTAAAAATCTCCCAGATCGTAGGGAAATACATGTAATATGAAATCAAATGTATTTTTATCTATTATTTGATTCCCACCTATTTTATTTAGAATATGAATACAACCAAGTAGGGAAAAAAGTATTAGTAACTGCTATTCAACTTAAATTCAGCAAATAGCTAATGACAATGCAAAAGAGAAAACAAGCCATATTGCTAAGAAAAAAATAGTAAGCTGCTTAGACAAAACCAGCCTGTGTTGGAAATAATTCTCTTCTAGAGAATTTACCTTATTTTCCTGGCTTGTACTAATCGAATGGAAGTGGTTGGTTTGTTCAGAGTTTATTGCCTTTTGATGCCACCCCAAACTACAGTTCTGTTTGACTTTCCATATTGAAAGAGAAGGGTCAGTAGCCAGGATGTTAATCTTTTACAGATGTCTACATAAATCTGAAAGCGGTTTATTGTCAAGGTTAGTTTTTCAGTACTGTCTCATCCTTATTCATGCACTGTTACTGTGAAGACTGAAATCCAAAAGCCAAGTTCCCTCAGAAAGTATTTTTTAAGAATTCTAGGTGACCAAAATAAATAGAGGAAGGCCAGTATAAAAAAATATGTCCAACGATTTCATTTTAAACTTAAAGTAGAAAAAAAAATTGTGTCCATCAGACCTAAAGTCAGCTTTAAATGTACATAGTTTGGGAAAACGTTTAGGAAACATTAAGTTGGTGGGAGACATACTGAAAAACAAATTCAAAGCACTAGAAAGTAAAGCAATACCATGGAGTTGAAAAATCTTCAAAAGGACATCAGGTAAGAGAAAATGTGAATGAAAGCAATGAATTTCTGCCTCTCCCCCTATTTAAGGCACTTAGAATTACAGAAAATACAGTCTTTTCTACTGTAGAGCTAGATGGCCTATATTATTTTTAATAAGGCCAAAGAGTGAAGACTCACTAGGGTTTTAGAATTTGGCACTGTAATCACATAAAGGAATCTTTTGCATTTTTTTAAAGCAGTAACCTACATTTTCTCCTGGAAATGGAGAAGTATAAAATGTGCCGTGCATAGCTTTTGGAATAGAAAACAAAGTTTTAAAAGAATGGAAATGTTTTCTTGCACAACTTGTAAAATTTTAATTAAAAAATTACCTCATTTTTCAATCCATAAGGTGCTTTGTTCAAGTTCGTGCGGTGTTGTACGGTCTCATAAAAACCCCCTTCACCCAAACTGTATTTGAAATATGCAAAATATACAACTAAGGGATAGCATTCCTTGGAGATTTTATTTTGTTTTCCTCTTGTTTACCACCAGCTGCGCCAACGTGTTAGATCTATCAGATTCACATACAGTTTTTATTAAAGCACATAGGAAATTGCTCAGTCAATGTTTAATTAGTTTAATTAAATAGGAGAAAGGAGAAATCCTAAATTTGATTGATTTTATTATACTGTGAATATATTTCCATCAGTGTTGGTAAGATATCAAATGACTGTCAGTTTATCTCGGTCACCAGTGACTTATTTGCATGTTCAAGCCCTATTCACAAGAGACCATAATCACTTTAATCTTATATTTTCCCTCAGGAAATTTAGGGACTCTGAAGCCCCTATTTTATTCTCTTGGAGTAAACTGTTGAGTGTAGTTATGAACATTTTATTTATGACTTTAAAAAAGTTTAGCTGCTATTTCATTGAAAGTGTGAAATAAAACGATGGTCATGGTTTTTTTCACTTACGGAAGAGTTACAAATTTTACCATGTTCATCTATTCCACAGAGCATATTGTAAACAACAACAAACCTAACAGCAATCACAGCCTTGCTGATGCGTTTATTCTAATCAGAGTGAATGATTATAATCACACATTGCTATTTTAACATAAATGGGTGCTTTAGAGCATTAAAGAGGAAGCAGTAGGCCCTGTACTCAATAAATTTCTTGCCTCAGAATGTAAAACAACTTTAAAATGTCTGTATTCATATTCATATGCATTTCTTAAGACTTAAATACAAACTTGTTATCCCTCAAGCTGCAGGCTTTCTGCGAAAGCTCTAAGAATATCTGTTACTATGCTTGGTCAACTAGAAGATGGTATTAATAAGGTCAGAATTAGGAATTGGATTGCTCTGTCGGGCCTCTGGTATTGTGCAGAGCAAAGAAAAATGTTTTTCATGTCACAAACTGTATGTCTGAACCCCAGCCAAACAAATGTGTTCCATTGGTCCAGTATATAAGCATTAACAAAAATTTTAACGCAAGTAAATCAATGCATTCACATGATCACTTCTTGAAAATGGTTCAAAGCATGTTTTCCTGATGGTGGGGTTGTTGAAATGACATGTTTTAAAGTTTTTAATACTTTATTACTGTTATGAAGTGCTTCTTTTATATGTTAAGTTCAGGTTGCCGGTACTCATACTTTTTTATTTCTGCAATTATGTTTTAACGAGTTGTTTGCATGCCTACTTAACCCACGTAAAAGGATGCTGTTTGCTCTGGAATGTTCATCTCTTAGACAGGTTTTGGCTCATTTCCAATCATGGTGCAATACAGTGTAACATTCATGTGTTTTCAGTCAACAGTTTTATTTTTGTCATAATAAATAATTACTTTTCCAATAGAAAGTGAACCCAGTGTTTCCTTTAAAGATAAAATCTGTTTTAACGGTCTTTTGCTTGCAAATGATAGAAACACACCTATGCCAACAAACAGAGGAGGATTTTATTATAGGGGTGAGGTGGTGGGGGCTCATGGAACCCAGGATCAGGAATATAGAGACTGGATTATTTAGGAGACAGCAGAAAGTTACCTTTTTTCCTACTTAAAACCTCTCTCTGTTGTTCACCTGACTGGATTTCTCTGTTTCCTGATCTACATGATGGATAAGGTCCCAGGTCCACTATCCTCCTCTGTTTGTACAAGGGAGAAGTCAGATTATTGTCAGATTTTTAGTTACAATTTTATATTCCCCAGGGAAATTGTTCACTAGCCTCCATTGGGTGATTTCCTCTCTCTGATCTAAACACCCAGCCAAGTGGAAGGTGCATTTACTAGAGAAGGGGAATCCCTGGCATGGGAAGGTGATCCAGATTGGTGTGTACTCCATTGTGGGATATAACTGGGATTATCTGCATATTGTGTCTACCTAATTTGTGTCCTTGTAAAAAAAAATTGAGATGTAATATAATGAGTAGGATAACATTTTCACTGTGTCTATTCTTAAGAGTCCTCTAAAGTAGTGATTTCAATTCCACCTTTTTTGTTCACAGACTTGTTTGGGAATGTGATAAAAGTACCTTCATAGAAAAATTACACATATTTACAGAGTTAGGAATTTTGAGTAGAAGGAATTTCAGGTACCTAAACTTAGTTCTCCTACACACAGAACATTCAGATTTCTTCTGAAAGACACCAGAAACTAGTAAGATTTCATTCTGCCTATTGTTTTTTTAACCAGTGAATTTAAGATTGCTATCTATTTTTTAAAGCATGTGTTATATAGGTATATGTAGGTATTTTTGTAGGTATAATTAATGTATTAAACTGTACATGGTTAAAGTGCACATTTTGAAAAGCTTTGATGTGCATACATTTTCGAAACCATCACCACAATCTGGGTAATGAAAATATTAGTCACTCCAAAAGTTTCCTAGTGTCGCTTTGTAATCCTCCCTTCTGCTCCACTCCCCATCCCCAGATAACCACTGATTTTGTGGTTTAAAACCATTTAAACCAGTCTAAAATTAAGGTGTCATCAGGGCTGTATTCCTCCTCAGTCAAGATTCAGGAGAGAATTCATTTCCTCACCTTTTTCAGCTTTCCGAGGCTGCATGCATTTCTTGGCTCATGGCCCCTTCCTCACATCAGTCCACCATCTGGCTTCTGTCAACACATACCCTGCCATTATGATCCTTCCATGCTTCTCTCATGTTAAGGAGCCTTGTGTTTCTAACTAGGTTTCCCTTGATAATCCAGGATAACCTTCCCATCTTGAGGCCCTTACGCCAGGTAAGGTCAGATAAGAACATGCCAGACTGACATGTT